ACAGCCTAGTGTATGGCTGGATACAGGCAGGCAGGCTATGGATTGGATGGATTTAGGATCAGAAGTTAAATTTATATGTGGGATAAATGATGTTGGAGAACCTCACAAAAGGAGTGACACTCAGGAGTTGGTATCAGGGTGGAAGGAGTAGAAAAGATAACTGACAAGAACACATTTGGAAAGTGTTGGTAGTGGAAATTGAGTGTAGCATAGACATCTATCCAGTCTCTTTGTATATAACTTCCCTCCTGGGAAAACAGCTGGTCAAGTCTGGCCCAGAGCTTAAATTCTGGTTCTACCATCTAGGCACAGAATGTTATCTTCTAAACTTGTCTTAGCATCAGTATCTCACTTATGGATTAGGTAATTAGTCTTCAGCTATATGCACTAAAGTCATGTTTGTTTTAATATTCCAAGTTAGCATCTGATAAGATCTTAAACCCCCCTCCCCCAAATTGTGTATAAACATTTCAGATAAACATTAAACCCACTGATAGTTAAAGCCAGAAGTCCAATATTCAATTTAGGTAGAACTGCTGTTAGTATCATTGTTGGCTTGAGCAACACATTTTTACCTTTGATGTATATTTGGGAAGTCAAATTGTATGACAGTTGATTACGTAAAACCAAAGCTGAGGTAAAAGTCATTATACAAATGAAAGATGAAGATAATGTGTTCGGGAGCCTAGTCTGCCACGGGGTGCCCTCTCCTGGACAGTGTTAAAGTGTATGCTGACAGTGTTTCTGACTGGGGTCTGTTTCCAAGGCTCAATTCACCGAGTTATTTAAGATCCCACAGGGAAAAGGATGCTTTAATGCTTTCTTGCATATCTGATGCATCTCTCATCAAGTAAAAATGTTGACAGTTGATAATGTGAAGATTAAGGAGTGAAACTTATTATTTAAATTGAGTGAATAATTGGTATAATACATCTAGTCAAACTCTGAGTTTATGCAAAGCAGAGCTCATCTATCGGAGGTGGTAAATGCTGAACCAAGTCTTAGAATCTATATTGGAACAACCTACTAGTTTTTCCTTACACATTCGTTACTTGACAAAAGGCACAGCATATGAAGCAGGCAGGGAACTGAAGAACTATGTATGTTTCGGCAGGAGCAATTCTACACAGAATGTGAAGTTTAGGGTTGGGAAGTAGGTAGTTTCTCAGTTTTCCTGAGGGTCTTCTGTGGAAATAGCCTCTGAAAGAAACATGGAGAATATGAAACTTTCCTGTAATGATTTTAGTACATGAGCACCTTCCCCCATCATACTGGCTCCTTATCTGGAGAAAGGATGTATCTCCCAGGCTTATGAAAACTAACCCTTTCTGCAGATGCAGAAACAATGGCAGTGATGATTGTGCCGTTCAGACATCCGTGTTTGTCTATACCATGTCTAAGTCACAACATTTACCCAAAGTAAATATTGTTCCCATTTTACACTTGAAGATGAAATAGTTTGAAGTCACGCAGTGTGAAACTGGCCTGGGGTTTGGAGACTTGAGTCTTTGGCATCTTAAATACCATCTTGTCATATCCAGGGAATACGAGATGCTACCAACCCATGAGCATTGCATTATGTCAGCAGGAGAGACAGTTTGGCTTCCCTTTTGAAAGGAATGTTTGCTGCATGAAAGTGTGGGTTGAGAGGTGCATCTTTGTAAGTTCACAGAGTCCTTTTCTTGTGATATAAGTGGGAGGGAGTTTTTTGGGGTGTTGCCATTGAGATGCCTTGGTGTTAATTCAGGACTACACTGTCAAATAAGGAGTAAAACGTTTATAACCAGGTTGACCTCTAATCTTATATCCAAGTCAAAAAGACTCCTCTATCCCAGAAAGCCCTTTCCAAGTTCCACTTGATGTCCTCAGAATAGTTGCCAACTTCAGGGAGGAGCAAGAGCAGGATCTGGACCCGAGAGATTACAACTCAAGATTTATCCTTCCATGTAGTCCCCCAGGACCAATCTTGACATGCTGGGGATAGTGTGCTTACAGATTCTGTGCTTATCCTTCTGAGACAAGGTCAGCTATTATCCTTTAGCATTTGGACTTCTCTCAAATGGAATTAATTCCCTGAACTCCTGAGCAGAATGTTTATAAGTGCAAGGTCTCTGAGGCATTTAGAAACCCAGGCTCTTCTGACATGACCAGCCCAGGTAAGAATCCCATGAAGAGGAATCTAGAAAAGAAACAGGGTCTTCAGGAGGGCTCCCAACTTAAGGATGAATAGGCTTGGGATTCCTGGGCAGCCAGCTTTAGATCGTGTTCATGTTCCTATATAAAATATAAGGCCCAGAGGGAAGGAATTCTCTTGTAAAGGGACTTAACAGGAGGAGTCTACACAGAGCCAAAGATGTTGAAGAGGCTTCTAGTTTACTAGTGAACATAAGACAGGAACCTCTCCAGGTGTGTGAAAGAGGCGTGGTATTTTATTCTTATGCAACAGCCAAATACTATGCTTACTGTAGCAAGCGAGACAGAAAATAAGTAGCAAGCAAGGCAGAAAATAAGTACCAAAAGAGACATAAAATAAGTACCTATCTGGGGAAACGTGCACATCAGCGGGCCATTCACAGAATTCTAATGTAGAAGCAGGTACCATACTAAGGGTTAAATCAGGCTTCCATAAGATTATCTGTGGCAAGGTAGATGTGCAAAAATTTTCCAGGTGAAGATAGTGATAGTCCAGTAAAGAACATAGGTAATTTTTTGTTAACTATTTTCATTTAACAATTAGGTAACACCCAGTCTTGTTGGAAGGTAGTAAGGGTGAGAAATGGTAAGAACTGCATTTGGTTTTGGTGAATGTATGGATAGGGAGTTCAGGGGGAGTGTGTCCTGCAGTGAATTTTTACACATTGGTGCACAGGAGCTGCTGCAGTCTCATAGTACATTTAGGTTACGAAGGCTGCTTCTGACTGGGGAGGCATAAGGACAGTGTTAGAGCTCGGGGAAAGATTATAAGCAGCTCAGTCCACCCTCAGAGGATGAGGTGCATCTTTCCTGACATGGGTGCCCTTTCCAGTTTCTTGATGTGTTCAGAGATGGATAGAGATATGAAATGAAGGTGGAATATCCATGAGGAAAACAGCTGGGTGTTAGGTACAAAGGAAAAATCGAGCACCTTTCTGGGTCTTTAGGTCAGTCTAGAGGACGGAGGACTTTGTGCTTAGCTGTAACATGGTTTGAGATGGAGAGGTTGCTGGATTTCACAATCCCTTCCCTTCATTGTCCATAGTTCATTAGGTACACATTCTGCCTCATCTGTGACTTGGGTCTGTGATCCTATTGCACAATAGTTCCACCAGGGCAGTAGTGAAAGGACTCAAATGGCATTGGAAGATACCAAAACAATTTCATTAACACTAGTAACAGCCGTCTAGGGGAATTATGAGGACAGAAGAACTCACTTGGCAAGTCCCATTTTTTTATTTAGGGACTCCCTTTTCTATTATCTTCCACATTATAGCTTTGCCTAATAACATGTTCAAAAGTTACAAAAGTTATTTGATTATTATACACTCCTATTTTGCCTCTACTTTTAAAGGGAGACTTTCTGTAAGTGTGGAGAAATTTATCTAGCCTTTCGTTTCCATAGGAATACGGTTCTTTAAGAAAGTTCTATATCGCTTCTCGGCCTCTTGGCTAAGATCAAGTGTAAGAAAGTTCTATGACTTGTCTAACTTTCGATTCTGTGTCCTGCTAAGGCAGCAACCTGCTTGGGGAGACAATACTGCATAAAAAATTGTGTACTGTTAGGATCTGGTCTGTATCCACAGGAACTCGCGACAGGGTTATGGGGACAACTGAAGGGACCATCTGCAGAGGCACAGGTGGTATGGAGGAAACTGACAGGATGGTGGAGCACCAGGACTAGCAGTGTTACCTAACCCAGCCCAAACAGGTAAGGGAAGGTGTAGTTACCAGAACACAGGGAAGGTCACTTTTCAGGAGCTGGCACCTTTCGTAGAAGATGCTGCCGAACATGCCTGGTGAGAAGGGAATTGGGAAGTTAGAAGTCAGGCTTACAACACTTTTACCTCCTGCTGGTATCTCACATTCTCTGGGCTTACTTGGAAACAAGAGGACAGGGGAATCTGATATATCCCGTAAATGCCAACTTCTGGAGGTATCAATCGGGGATCAAGATGGGTCCTTGGCGGTATGTAGCTCGAAGTTCTTTGGTGTTTACTAGAGAGTCTTGGTTCTGTATGTGACCCCCAACTGAAGAACTGATGCTTAAATGACTGTTAGACACTGCATGCAGTCTTCAGGACAATGTCTGGGCCACAGCTTTTAAAGTTTGTTGTGAAGTGAGGTTAGTTGTGTTTTATAATAGGATAATATGCCCTGGGAACTTGAGTATATTATCCTGTTTTCCAAGGTGCCAGTTCCTTAGAATACTCAGTCTGATTTGGGAATCTTCTGTCAGTATGGCTTGGAAATTACATGGATTACTCTCTAGCCTTAAGATGTAGACAAAGCTTATGTGCTCCTTGTCTGTATTCCAGTCCCTTTAACATACAAGGCATAGGTAGTATTTTGATCCTTAACAAAACCAGTGTAAAACTAAAAACTTTTCCCTGTATAGTCCACTGTGGAGTCTATGTTGACCTGTATCTCAGTTTCAGTATGCTTAAGGAGCTGTCACTTTATAGCATATTAGATCCCAACAGCCCCCTCAGAGCATACCTACAGAGGTAAGTAAACAAATGGGTACATATTATCTTAGGTCAACTTATCGACACAAGATCATTCCTTGAGGGTCATGCTACAAAAATACACATTTCAAATATTTGTGTTAAATTCATTGTAGTGCAAAAGGCATTTGTGAGTGTAGGATACTTTGGTTTCTTATAAACTTACTATTTTGAGTTTTATCTAGTAGATTTTTTTTTTTTTTGCTACATGACCTAAGAAAACTATCATCTTTTCCTTCCAGGGGAAAATGTCCTGGTGCATTTTAGGGCACAAGTGAGAAGGTTCGTTTATGAATAGCCATGCTCACCTTTCATAATGTCTGCTCAGCGCCCAGCTCCTTCCAGCTCCTGGGCATACCAGGTCTGGAGTCCCTGCAAATCTGGCTCTCGATCCCCTTTGGCTCCATGTACCTGGTGGCTGTGGTGGGGAACATCACCATCCTGGCCGTGGTAAGGGTGGAACGTAGCCTGCATCAGCCCATGTACTACTTCTTGTGCATGCTGGCTATTATTGACCTGGTTCTTTCCACTTCTACTATACCCAAGCTTCTGGGAATCTTCTGGTTTGGTGCTGGCAACATTGGCTTGGATGCCTGCTTGAGCCAGATGTTCCTTATTCACTGCTTTGCCACTGTTGAGTCAGGCATCTTCCTTGCCATGGCTTTTGATCGCTATGTAGCCATCTGCAACCCACTACGTCACACTACAGTGCTCACCCACTCAGTGGTGGGTCGTTTGGGGCTGGCTGCTCTCCTCCGAGGAGTTCTTTACATCGGACCTCTACCTTTGATGATCCGCCTGCGGCTGCCTCTTTACAAAACTCATATCATCTCCCACTCCTACTGTGAACACATGGCTGTGGTCACCTTGGCATGTGGCGACAGCAGAATCAACAATGTCTATGGACTGACCATTGGTTTTCTGGTATTGATCTTGGACTCTGTGGCTATTGCTGCTTCCTATGTGATGATTTTCAGGGCTGTGATGGGGCTGGCCACCCCCGAGGCCAGGCTTAAAACCCTGGGGACATGTGGTTCTCACATTAGTGCCATCCTGATCTTCTATGTTCCCATTGCCGTCTCCTCCCTCATTCACAGGTTTGGTCACCAAGTGCCTCCTCCAATCCATACCTTGCTGGCCAACTTTTATCTCCTCATTCCCCCAATCCTCAATCCTATTGTGTATTCTGTCCGGACTAAGCAGATCCGAGAGAGGATTTTTCAAATCCTAAAGATAGGAACTAAGATGAAATAATTGCTACTTCTTTCCTCTCATACTCATGGAGGCATCATTTAAATATGGAGGACCACTTCCCGTTTGTGAAACTCAAGTCAGATATTAGGCCCAACTTTTAGAGTTGTAAACTCAAATACTAAGAAGATATTTGTCAGGATCAGAGGATAGTTGAACCACAAAGACAACCAGCAATGACAATGACACCAGTAATAAGCACGTTTTTCCAGCACTTCTAATGCATTTCTTCCAAGTATCCTGACATATAAAACATGAACAATAATACTTGATATGTAAAACTGAGACAAGACCCTTGCTTTATAAACCACATACAAAGTTACTTAAGTCTTCAAACACCGAGCTAGGAGGCTTATGTTATTATATACTTTATATATATATTTTTTTAAAGTAAATCCTACAAACTGGGTCAAAGTCACCTTAACTACAAGATTGAATTAATGTTAGCAATTGAAATCCTGCCCAAACTGCTTATTCTAGTAAAAATTGTAGTGTACTGGAAGACTGATCTGCATGCCTACTAGGTATGGCGACACCGCCCATGAGAGAATGTGGCCTGGCAAGTTATTGACTCAATGAAGGGAAATGAAGGAAGTGACTGCCTTATGGGGAGTGGGGGGGGGGGGGCGGGGAACTGTCCAAATGCTTTGGACTTTCCTTAGCAAAAGGGAACACTTTAGTGAGACAAAAAGTATCTTCTTCAGTAGTTGCTGTTGCTTTCATCTTCCTTCCTGGCTGCCAGCCTGATAAGCAGGGTTGAAGGAGCATATTTTTTGGAGATAAGGAGGGCTGATCAGTAAGTATATAATGGAATCAGTTTTAGAATTCATGAGCATGCTGGCAAGAGAAAAGAATCCTTAGGATTGGATTTTGAGGATCAGTCAAGGGGGCTAGATTGTTAAGACCAAGTAAAAAAATTAATTGAACTTTGGGAGGCACTTTCTCGGGACATGGGATTTTACCCTGGCAAGGACCCTAGGAAATGGAACAAACTCACTGCTAGGGTATGAAAAAAAGTGGCAATAGCTAGCTAGTGGTTGGCAAAGCAAAAATGCTTAGGTTGTTCTATAAGGAAGAAGAAATGGAAGGGGCATATTGTAACATACATTATAACATGTTATGCAAGGACAGAAGATGCTTTGGAGAATTAAGTCATGAAAGTCTCAACTGCCTTCATGAATGATCTGCGGACATGGGTACCAACACCATTAAATAGTTCACTGGCAATTATAACTCATGGTAGCAGAGGCAGTCAGACATAGGTACATTGATAACTAGGGTATGATGGGGTCATAAGTGCTGTCATTTGGGCACTGTCAAGTTCATGGATAACTTCTTGGGGTTAAGAACCGGCAAGGTCAAAAGGGAACATCAAGAAGGCTCAATCCAGGATTGTGGAATTAGTAAATTGAGTACTAAGCTGGGAAATGAACAATATAAAGATGGGCGGCCAGCAAGACTGCTTACCATTTATAACAATGCAAGAGAAGATCAGAAGGTGCAAGAATGTAACTTCATTGGCATGACCAATCTCTTGGTTTTCTGAATCTGTTCTTTTTGTATCTAGAACTCATTAAAGATTAAACTGAATCACTAAGTAGAAGGACCTTGAAAAGCCATGCCTATCATACCATAGTCATTACTCTAGTTCTCCAAAGTTTCCCATGGTCATTTACCCAGGCCATTGTACCATGGGTGAAGTGATTACCAAGACATTAAAAGATTGTTGAACAGTTTGAGTTGATATTGATATCATGAATATGGTATTTCTGCATAGTTCCACTGAAGTAAGGACTCTAGAGTACAGGTAGAATAGTGTTGGAGAACTCACTGTATTCTTATTCTACACCCCCATCCAGTGGTTATTTCTCTTATCAGCTAGTATTTAGTTAGAATTATTATACTGTGTCATTTTCATGAGATTTCTGGCCTGAAATGGCCCTCCCCACCAAAATAGTAAAATAAAAGCATCCCAAGTGGGATGACAACTATTTTTCTATGGGATATAAAAATTACTACTTGTTTCAGGAAGATTTTAACTATCCTGCCATGTACTATAGGTTAGTCCATAGAACAGTGATCTATCAATGGTATGTTGATGGCAGGGGTTCAGCAAGAGGCGATTTGTGTAGTGAAGGCCACAGTGAAGCATGCTATGCGTAGTGTGAGGCAAACCTCAAGTATTTTCAGGCACCTACTGCTTTAGTATTTTATAGGTCCAATGGTCAGGGTTATACCAGGGTGTTTGCACTAAGGAAAAAAACCTTGTGTCTGTTAATAAGGCCTGGTGAGCCTTTGAATTCTGCAGGTAACAGTATTTGTGTAAGAATTCTGCTTTGGCCCATAAGCCAGAAGTCAGACTTCAAATTTTGCATGGATCCAGAGCAATAAAAATTTTAGCAGGTCCAAGCTGTTATAAGTAGTAGTGATATTTAAGTCTTCATAACTGGCAGACTCGTGTGTTGGAGTTACTACTGGTGGGAAAAGATGAAGGATGGAGCTCATGGAACTACATTGGTCTTGAGAAATAACTCCTGGAATTTGGTTCATGGAGCACCAAGCAATTATGTATCTAGAACTATCCATTTATGAATTGGGTTCATCTTACTCATCATATCAAAGTCAGATGGGTCCAGTAGTCTTAAGACTGCAGTAATTTGTCTAGGATAAAAAACAGGAGCAACAGGTTAAGTTACATGAGCAGGTATCCATGACTCAGGTCATCTAACATTTGCACCAGTCTTCCTTACACAGCCAGATGGAGGAAAAGGCCAGAACTGTGTACAGAAGTGTTGGCAAGTCCTGGCCTAAGAAGAACGGCAGATGCATTCAGGAAAGTGAAGAATTTGAAAGAATTTGTTACTATACCCGTTTGTATATTTTCCATGAGGCACCCAAGATAAGAGTCAGTTGAAGTCTCTGGGCAGTGGCATCTTTTTGCTCTGGTCAGGGTCTCCAAGACTAGATTAGGAGGTCTGGGAGAGGGGCATAGAGGCAGATGGGAGTTGGGTCTGAATCATTTGTTGGAAGCCACCTGCCAGAAGAGGTACTGAAACAAAGTAGCTGAAGTAGTGCAACTAATAGAGCCACTAGTAAGCCTTCAGTGGTCACCTCAGGACTGGTATAATGGGTTATTGTATGGAGTGGCAAGACATTGAAGGAGACCATGTGTGGGCCCAATCAGTAGCTGACTGACCAAACTTGACTGGCTACTGCTGCCACATTTCAGTGTCCAACCCATCAATGCTGAAACCCAGATACATTACTCTTCCAGGAGGCCGCTTGATGGCTAGTTGACTACAGCGGGCCTCTTAGAGCCAGTACTTCGTATTTGTTAGATGTACTTTTTCCACGGTGTGAATTTGCCTTTATTGTCCAGATCCTTGGCCAGCACTCCTGTTGGGGGCCTCAAGAACATCTGATCTATGACAAGTTGGAACCCTTGCCTGTAGTATAAAGAAAGTAGGACGTCCTATACAAAATGATATGTAGAGATTACAACGTTGGAATTCACTGATGGCATTTCATTATCTCACCAACTGGAAGCAGCTGGCCTGTTTAACTTTCTAAACACAGATAAAGCAGCTCAGACATTTCACAAAAGGCTAGCACCATCTTTGATGCTGTAGGATGTGCATTTAGTTATGATGCTCAAAATGATGCCAAGGAATCCATTGGACAAATTTGAACTACGAACAAAGGGGTTGAAAGAATCTCATTCTCAATGAGCCACTAGAAAACTTACTTCCTGCTCCTGAAGCCCTTGACTCAGATTTGGAGTTCCTGTTTTTCAAAGGTGGTTCACTCTGGTCAAGAGGACAAGGATCCCATTGAGCTACAAGTTAAACAGTAGTCCACAGTATCCTGACAGCTATGTCAGACCAACTGTTGAGTCATACTACCAGCACCAACTGGCCTTGATTAGTGGGGAAGATGAAAGGTTGCCTTTATATAGTAGACACAGGGAAGACTATTAAACATGTACCAAAGCCAGGTCATATACTTGGACACTGTCTGGTACTCCACTGCCCCACTGTCACTGTTAGTATAATGTATAACATTCTCAAAATGATTACCATGGGTTCATCCTGCTCAGATATGAAAGTTTGAGTCACTCCAGGTAAGCCAAAATTATTTGCAATGTCGACAACTGAGTGAAGGGAACTCCAAATAGGAGAGAAGTAGTAATAGTTGTGGCTCAGATATTTAACAGACAAGATTTATAGTTAATTCCATTAATCTTCCTCTTCTAAATTTCCCCTTAGCAAGGAAGGACTATGGTAGTTTTTCCTGGATGGAATAACCCCTCACTGTCCTTGGCAATAAATCATGGGCATCCCCTCCCATCTCTGCCCAAGTTCCCATGGAGACTATGCAGGGCTCTGTTAGGCCAGCACTTCCTGGAAGTGACCAGCTCTTGGGTTTGTTCCACCTCATTCCCCCTTGTCTATGGTGAAAGAGTTTCAGTAAGTTTTCATCTAGTAGATCTCTCTAGAAGTTCCTTCTAGAATGGAATTACCTCTGCAATGGTATGTCTCAATTTTGTGATCTGGAAGTAGGGGATAAGCCGTGTTGATTTTTTTTTCCTAGAAAGGCTGGTCAGCTCTGGACTCAAAATGGATGTCACGTCTGGCATGTCCACAGTGTGTTAAATTGTTTGATTTCCTTCCCCGACTGCTCTCTTGTCATGTTTTAGTTTGGTTTGCATTTCTTTCCAGCTGTTAAGTGAGCTTATGCGATTTTCCTCCCCTCTTGCCTCTCCCCCTGGTCCGGATTTGGAGGTAACTGTCCTTATTCTCCGCTTCAGGTCGGTAACCAATGTCTGGACCTGAGGCGGTGGCTGCGCCGGCCTCGCTGGCTGAGGAGGCCCAACTGGAGCGAAGCTGCGGCAGCCCGAGCCTTGTGAGTGAGCGCTGAGCCGGCTGGGCCCTGGGTGGCCTGTGGCCTGGGCGGCGAGGCCTCCTCCCGGCTGGCGGGCTGCCGTGCCCTCCATGCAACAGGAC